CCCCCCCCGCGTCCAAACGCGCACTCACACGCAAGGCAAGGTGCGATCCGCGAATTGCAGTCTGCGCGCGCGCGCCTTTTTTTCTTCCCCAAAATCTCCCGCGACAAAAACACATGTATATTTATATTTTTTTTGGTCCTCACCTCGGGTCTGACACGTCCGCTGCGTGGCGCACGCGGCCCCAGTACGTGCTCAAGTCATACTGCGACGCAGGCAGGTCGCGGCTGCCGGGCAGAGATGCCGACATTTCGTTGGATGCGCAATCTCGCGGGGGTGCCCGGGTTTTGAAGGATCTCGACGGAAGGAACTGCGTGTGCGTGTGGCCCTTTTTCAAGCGGAAGGATCGAATCGGGTGCTGCGGCGGAGGATTCAAGAACGTGTCGTCTCGGTGCTCGTGTCGGTTTCGAATCGGGGTTGGCTGTTTAAGATCGCGGTAGGAGTGGTCGGGCGAGGAGGGAGGAGGCGCGTTGGTGTCAATTGCAGGCGGCGGCGGGTTTTGCGTGAGCTTCAACGCGTATCTAAACTTGTCGAAGGCGCGGCGGTGAAGAACGAGGGGAAAGGAATGCGGCCGGGCGTGTGACCGAATTCTGGTGACAGAGAGCTAGCTCGTACGCCGCGTTTTTGGAGCGGGAGGTGTGCCGACTTCGGCCCAAGCTTCGACGGCTGGGGTGCCGACGAGGACCCTTCCAATCAGGGTCCGAAAATTACACGCTCACGATAGCGTTTAGCCAGGGTCCTTACATGCATATTCTGCAGATCGCATTTATCGCTATAGACTGCTTTGAACCAATTGCCTTTTCCGGTATATGTCCAAGTTTTCGACAGTATTATACGCGCTCCAAACAGCACCCGCTCTCCGTTCCATCCTTCTCCAAAAAGCCAGAAAGCATTAGCAATTAATCCCACCAACGCCTTCCAGATGCTGCCACTACCACGTGGTATTTTAAGGAGATGATAAATATCAAAGCTGAACAATAAAAATAAATGTAGACCTGCGCTTTTGGTTCGATTGCCGTGGCATCATTGCACGTCCGCTTACGAGGCAAGCCTCGACTTCTCCCTCTTCTTTCCCTTCTGCGGTGTCGCGCCGATGATGGCGTCAAATGTCTTCGTGGGATCGTTGCTGTGGCTGCTGACCGGGCGAGGCATCTCGCCCGTCGGAGACACACCAGTAGGTAGCGGCAGCGCCTCCAAGCCAAGCATCACACTTTCGCGAACGTGGCTGCGGCGATCGATGCTGCTGGCCCTTGAGCCTGCCCGGAGTCTGGGCATGCCGGGCTCCGGAAGGGGCTCGTTGAGGTCTTCGCCAACCGCTGTGGGCATCATGCCGGGCATTCCGGGCATGCCGGGCATGCCGGGCATACCGCCCATGCCGCCCATGCCGCCCATGCCAGGCTGCTCCATTTGGTCCAGGCTCCATTTCTCCGCCATTTGCCAGCAGTGGCTGCGGCGGTACACGCCTTCGACACCGTGCTCGACAACATCTGATGGCAACGCAACCACACCGGAGCCGCCCGCAATGCCATACCATGCGCGTCCTTGGTTCTTGACGTCCTTGGCCCACGGCACTCCGGAACGCGGCGGCTCGCACAGGAAGTATTCGACGCCCTTGTTCCACTTGACACCGGGCGCGTCGATGACGAGCATGGGCAGTGACTGGATGACAGCGTACATGAAGAGCCAATGGCCGATGCGCTGATCGCGAATCTCTTCGATGTTCTTCCGATGCATGGATGACTTCTCCAAGGCGCGGAAAGAGTCCAGGAAAGGAGTGGAAATATCAGCGTCCTCGTTGTGGGTCTTCTTCATCAACTGGACTCGTTCGTCGTCCTTGAGATCCTTCTTGCGGGCCTTGGCGTCCTTCTTCTCGTCTCCAGTGCCGAAGTCACTACGAGTCATGGAGAGATCGGGAATCATGGGACAGTCGAACGGAACTGGCGGCTGGAATGGCGGCACGCTACGGTCATATTCACTAAGCACCAGGCGCAGGGCGCGGACCATCGGCTCGCCTGCTTCTTCGTCCGTCGGGGGAGAATCCATCGTACGCGTCGTCAGGTTCTCGCGGTCAACAAGGAGATCATAGAGGCAGGAAAAGTCGTGGTAAAGGTCCTGGAGGACGATTCTGTTCAGGCCGTCCGTCTCCAAGCTGTTTTTCTTCGAGTTCGCCTTTGGTGGCCATGCGCCGTATTTGGACTTGTAGTAGTTGAGCATGTGCTTCCGGGTAGTCATGAAGGCGTTGCGCCAAGCCTCGAATCTGACGACCTTGCGCTCCTCGGCGGTCTTGCTGTTCATGATGCCGGAGAAGACACCGGGGAAGTCGAAATCAACCAATCTGGAGGTGAAGTTCCTGAATCTAATTTCCAAGTCCATGGATGCTCGCTCCATGCGGTCACGAGTGTTTTGAGAAATCATGTTGAACTTGGGGTTTCCGAGGGTCTTGATATGTTCATACTTGCCAACAGCGTGCACGAAAGCCTCGTTGTAGAGCATCACGGAGCGCATACGCTCGCCTAGCACGATGCCTTCGATGGTCTTCTCGCGACTGGCCCTAACATCGGCTAGATGCAGCTCCTCAACATAGCTGTCGAAACTGGAAGCGGCGATTTCTCCAAAAGTCGATCCATCCAGGTTAGAGAACTCGTAATACTTCAACATCTCAGAGATCTGTAGGAAAATGGCAAAGATGGACTGGCGGGTGGGAGTTGCGACCAAAGACTGGCCGACCAAGAAGGCAAACAGGTTCCGCGTGGCGACAAGCGTCTCCAGATCGTCGGGGGTCATGGGCGGCTGAGTTCCGCCTGGCGTCGGGATCTGGCCATCGCTGCTAAGTTTCAGAGGAAGGTAGAGATGGATTTCGGAGCCCGGGAGTTCGAGGGAGTCGTTCATCAACTCCCTGGAAGCCTTGGAGCTGACGTCCTCGCTCTCAATGTCGGAGGCGCGCGGGGTGTTCGGCGAGATCGGCGATGAGTTCTGGGCATTCATGTCCATGCTCTGGACTTGTGTGTCGAGGGTCCCTCTCCTGTCGCCTCCCGCCACCACGGCCGGGTTGCTGTAGATTCCGCCATAGGCAAGCTGTGTAAGGACAGTCGACGAGGCGTAGATGGTGGAATCCACTTTGAAACTGGGACCGTGGCCGGATGTCGGCGGATACACGTAAACATACGTGTCGCCTTGCTCGTCCCACAGTTCCGGCACTTTCTCCCCGTTCGAAAGCAAGGAGACGCTGTACTCGGGCTTGCCCTCGTGGCCCACAATCCAGGCCTGGGGTCCCGTCGGCTCCGCCTCGCTCTTTCTCACTCTTCCGAAAAACGACTTTCTCTTGAGCTTGTTCGCCTGAGCGGCGTTGCCGGGGTCGAGGTGGCCGTCGGCGGTGACCTGGAGCAGGACGGACTCGGGGCGGAGGGATGCTACGCTGCCGGGGCGGAAGTCGCTGCAGGGTCGCGACGAGTTTCTGGACGAGGAGCGCGATGCGGAGTCGACGCGGACGGGCGGGGGAGGGAGGAGGTCGCCGCCATCGTCGGTGATGCTGCGGATGGTCGACTGGCGCTCGATGCCCTGCGGAATGGGAGGGACGGGCGGCTCTTCTGCTGACGGAGGCGGCTGAGCTGACGACGAGCGATCGCGGCTCTGGGATCTGCTGAGCCTAGCGGAAATGGAGCGGCGTCTGCCTCTCGAACCAGACTCGGTCGTCTCTGTGGTAGCAGGCGGCTCCTCCTTGGCTGCCTCGGCCAGGTTCAGAGAGGACAGGCTGAAGATTGAGGTCAGGCGCTTCGCAGCTGATGACATTTTGCGTGATCGGAGGGCCTGCCCGCGCGCCGCGCAACGCAATAGAAGAGAACTTGGGTAAGGAGAGGGTTGTGCAGGCTAGTGGAGGGAACAGAAAGAGGAGCTCCGTTGAATAGGAGCGGCAGTCTCGGGTGTTTGGGGGTTGTAAAACGTAACGTAAATTTTAAGGGACCGCCAGGGCGATGTGACAAGCTTCGGCAGCACGGTTGATCTGTTGCGTCGTCTGGGGTGGCTTGGACAGCGTGGGCAAGTGGGCGCAGCTCAGGCGGCCATTGGCCTCGCCGTCATCAATCACGAGCCGCCGTATTCCTGCAGCCGTATACCGATCTGCTGTTACCAGACCCGTTGCGGTGCGGCGGCGGGCTTGCGGGCGGCGGGTCGCGCACTCCATCCCACACCGGCGCGCGCGCACTGTCGCACTGGCAGAGGCTGACATCATCCGTGGGCGGCGAGGAGACGGCACCAGTGCAACCCGCCGCCAGGGGGCGTCGTCGCCTGGCCAGATCCGGGCCCGCGGCGATGGGGCTGGAATTATTTATATCGCGCTTTATCGATAAAACCCAGCCGGAGCCTCACTGTCACCAGCTCGCATGCAGCGCGCCGTCTCACGCTCGTCCGTCCGGCACAGGTAGCTGAGGCACGCAGGCACGCAGGCTGACGGTGGCGGCCGTGTGTACTACGTAGCCTGCGCGTGCGCTCCAGCGGTTTTCTGGAAGGGCCCAGGCGCGCAGGCGCGCATTTGCCCGCACGCCGAGCGAGTGCGCTGGCTGCCAACACCCTGCCCCAGCCGAGCCACGCTCCGAGTTGTTTCCAAAGTCCCGACTTCCGAGAGGGCGCCCGCCACACACCTGCATGTCCAGCCTGGGCGACGGCCGCGAAGCCACCGTGCCGCCTGTGCAACCGCGACAGGAGATCGCCTCCTTGGCCTCCGTGCTCCGCGCGCCCCACGCCGGCCCATTATTTTGCTCAGCGAGCTCATCTTAGACAATATCCACGATCGCCCCTCATAACCCAGAGACCCCTAAAGTCGCACGCTGGCCCTCCGCTGCGGTACGTGCCGGCGTCGAGCGAGCCTGCGGACAAAGCAGCGTGCGGAATTGCTGCCGTCCGTCGGCGCGCGGAGCAGTCGTGTACGTACCACGCTGTGTTTGTGCCGAAGCCTTGCTGTTGGCCCGGAGTCGGAACACTGCCGTCAGAACGCCGATCCCTTGGCTGCAAACCCACTTCAGTCCGGTTGTCAACGGCAGCGCTCGCTAACCGGCGGCAGCCACGACGTTAGAATTAGCGAGTGCGGAGCAGGGCGTGGGCTGACGAACGCATTCGCAAATTCGCGTCGGTGGCGCAGCCGTCAACAAACGCCGCAGCCATGGCCGCGAAACCCCTCATCAACCTCCTTCGAGGCTGGCCGAACACGTCGCTGCTTCCTACCGCCGTCATTAAACAGGCGGCCGACAGCGTCCTGACGCGGCCTGATGTCGCCATCCCGGGCCTGCTGTACGGCCCTGATCCGGGAGACCCGGGAGCACGCAGCGCAATTGCTGCGTGGCTGACGGACTTCTATCGTCCGAGCCAACCGGTGACGGACGAGAGGATTACCATCACGGGAGGGGCGTCGCAGAACCTGGGATGCATCCTGCAGACCTTCACCGATCCGATCTTCACCCGAAACATATGGATCAGCTCCCCCGCCTACTTCTTGGCGTTCCGCATCTTTGAGGACTCAGGATTCGCTGGGAGATTGCGTTCCGTGCCCGAGGACGACGGCGGCGTCGACGTCGACTTTCTGCGACGGGAGATAACAAAGAGCGAGGAGAAAGCGAGGGCAGATGGAAACACAGAGCCGGTATGACGCCCGTCGACGATATTGGCCCCCTGCATGCAGTTAGTTGACGCAGCGTAGACTCTGAAGCCCGGGCGGCCCTGGCGCAAGATCTACCCTCACGTCATCTACGTTGTTCCTTCCTTTGCCAATCCCTCATCCGTCACCATGCCACTGGAGAGGCGGAAGGAGTTGGTGAAACTGGCTCGGGAATACGACGCCCTCGTCATATGTGACGACGTCTACGACTTTTTGCAATGGCCCGCAGCAACTGACACCAATGAGTCGGGGTTGAACAAAGCACTACTGCCTAGGCTCGTTGATATCGACCGTTTCCTAGACGGAGGCGCCGAACGAGACGGCGCGGACGGGTTCGGTAATGTGGCTAGCAACGGGAGCTTCAGCAAAGTAGCCGGGCCTGGTCTCAGAACCGGCTGGGTCGAAGGTACCGCAAAACTTGCCCATGGCGTCTCGCAGACTGGTACCTCGCGGTCCGGCGGGGCGCCATCGCAGCTCACGTCGACGTATGTTGCGCAACTCCTCGAATCCGATCGGCTGCAGCAGCATATCTACGGGACGCTGCAGCCTGCCTATGCGGCGCGCTACCGTGTGATGATGTCGGCCATCGAGAAGCATCTGGTCCCGCAGGGCGTCAGGCTGCCGCAGCCCGGCAGAGAAGTAGTCGGGGGTTATTTCGTGTGGCTTTCGCTCCCTTCCCCGCTGAAGAGCGCCGAGGTTGCGCGACTGGCGCGAGAGAAGGAGAACTTGATCGTTGCGGAAGGTGGGCTGTTCGAGGTTCCCGGGGACTCGGCTACGGTGAATTTCCCATGTGACATCCGGCTGTGCTTTAGCTGGGAGGATGTCGACCGGCTTGGTGAAGGCATCGAACGGCTGGCCCGAGTCATCGATCAGCTGCAGCGCGGAGAGGTGGCGGACGATGCGGACAGGCAAGGCGAAATGCAACCCGACACGGAAGGAGGCCAAAGTGGGAAGCTGGGACAGGGCAACAGTGGAAACTACTGGTGATGTCTCGACGCAGGCGGGCGGGTGATGAAGGCTACTGGAGGCCTTTGTGAAGAAAGTAGTCGAAAAGAGCGAGCTAGAATAAGCACTATAGAGCTGCATTTTGCCAGCGAACCACGAGCGGCTTCCAGATGAGCACAAGACGGCCCTATGACCTGCACCTGCACATGCAGATCCACCACGACCCCGGCTTCTGGAAGCATGTGCAACCTGCAGGGTGCGGGGCAGCGGCAATGTGGAGGGGGTCGGCACAGCGGTCGCGCAAAACCCAGGCGGGCGCCCGATGATGGCGATGGCCCATTCTTGACGCCGCGTTCTCGTGCTGGCCTTGGGGTTTTCTGCTGTTGTGACCGGTCATGCTCCACCGAAAGCGCCATTGTCGCCTGGCAGACGCGCTCGTGCAACCGCCCGAATAGGCTTGCGGCACCCAAAAAGGCAGGCGCCAGCAGCGACGCAGGTCCTTCATTATGACGACGCTGTTACAGGTACAGTGCGCGAGTGTGCGCGAGTGTGCGCATAGGCGGCCGGCGAGGCGGCTATAGGGGCGGCACTGCATAACGAAGCGCGAGCAGGGCAACAGCAGCCAACAAAGTTAGGCCAAGCCTTTGTCGGCAGCGCAAACTCGACGGGCCGGGTGGCAGGCCGGCATGGGCCGGGGGCGGTGCGGGCTCTGATTGCTCGCAGACAGATTGCGCTCTGCGGTGCTCTGCGGTGCTCTGCGGCGGGCGGCAGGGCAGCGTGAGCAAACGACCAATGGCAGGGGCGGGCGACGTGGTTCCTGAGACGCATGCGGCGCCGCGGTTTCAAACGCAGGCCGATCAGGGCGAGCGCGTGGCTTGACTGGTTGCGGCGGGGCCACTCTGCAAGTCGCTTCAGGGACAGACCGCCGCGCCGACCTCTGCCCATCGACATCCAACAACTGGCCACCGGCCCACCCGTGGAATGTTTCACTGGCCGTCCCGGCGCGCCGCTTGATTTGACAGACAAGACGGCTGCTCGGCGCGCCACACCACCGGCCCGCGCACAGCACCCTTGCCCACCTGAGCCCGAGTCTGGGTGCCCGCCTCCTCCCCTTGCCGCTGCCTCGATGCCGCGCTGCATGCCGCCGCCCAGGCAGGAAGGCCGCGGGCGTGACCGTGGGCACGCGACGGGCGGCCGTGACCGCCGCGGCGAGCAGCAGCAGTGGCAGGCGCTGCCCGCCTGGGAGGCCGCTTGCCAGCGCGAGGCGTTTGGCGGCGAGGGCGTCGACGGCTATGGGCCTATAAATCAGGCCGCCGCGGCGGGTGCGGAGACGGCAGCGGCCCACTTGAAACCGCGCCCAGAACCCTTTAGCACGGAGCCGCCAGACCAAGCAGTGAGTCGAAAATCTATGTTTCATGTTTCTCGCCCGCCAGCCCGCGCTTATAAAACATACGCGGCCACCGCCCTCCCTTTGCCTGCCACACCACCTGCCTTTCTCAAGACCTGTGCGAGCCACAGCGTTTTTTTGTGGCTACTCCCAGCTACACTGTTTTTCTTCTTGTCCTCCGTCACTCTTTCATTACGGACTCCCCAAATACCGCCGCGCCAACCTTCCCTCGACGCGCACATTCCATTCACAACCGACTTTCTACATTCTGCCACCAGCCTCGCGGCCGCGCAACACTCGGTCCAAGCTCAAGTGCTGTGCACTGACAAGGCTTTATTTACCAGCTCGCGACACTCTCCTTCCTCACTCCCTTTCGAAGCAGGCTCTTCATCATGATCGCTTTCAGCACCGCCGCGGTCGCCCTCGGCCTGCGTTTTCTCCTCAGCGCCGCTCCCGCCCACGCCGCGCCCACGCCCGGCACCATCCTTGAGGCCGGCGTGAGCGTTGCTGGCATCGACGCCGACGTCACCGTTGGCGCCTCGGACGCTGCCGCCGCCGCCTCGAGCTACTGGCTCGCCAACATCAAGCGCCAGGGCACCGTTGCGTACGGCAGCGCAGACTACAAGGTCTTCCGCAATGTCAAGGACTACGGCGCTACCGGCGATGGCTCTACCGACGACACCGCTGCCATCAACACGGCCATCAGTGACGGTAACCGCTGCGGCAACAACTGTGACTCGACCACCGTGACCCCTGCGCTTGTCTATTTCCCCCCTGGGTGAGCATCCTGATCCCGACCAGTCTGAACGCCTCGCTAATGCGCGCGCAGAACCTATGTTGTCAGCAAGCCCATCATCCCGTACTACTACACGCAGCTTGTTGGCGACATCACGGACCTTCCCGTCATCAAGGGCTCTGCCAGCTTCGCTGGCATGGCCCTCATTGACGCTGATCCCTACAATGACGACGGCTCCAACTGGTACACCAACCAGAACAACTTCTTCCGCCAGGTCCGCAACTTCGTCATCGACCTCACTGGCATGCCCGAGAGCTCCGGTGCTGGCATCCACTGGCAGGTCGCCCAGGCCACCAGTCTCCAGAACATCCGTTTCGAGATGCTTCCCAAGAGCGCTACCAACAAGCAGCAAGGCATCTTCATGGACAACGGCTCCGGTGGCTTCATGACGGATCTGACCTTCAACGGTGGCAACTACGGTGCTTTCCTCGGCAGCCAGCAATTCACCACCCGCAACCTGACCTTCAATGGCCAAAACACCGCTGTCTTCATGAACTGGAACTGGCTCTGGACCTTCCACGGCCTCAACATCAACAACTGTGATGTCGGAATTGACATGGCCAACTCCCCGTCCAACCAGACCGTCGGTTCCGTCATTGTCCTCGATAGCACCTTCACCGGCACTCCGCTCGGCGTCAACACCTCCTTCTCCGAGAACAGCGTCCCTGCCACCGGCGGTACTCTCGTCCTCGAGAACGTTGACTTCTCTGGTAGCCAGACCGCTGTCCTCTCTGCTGGCACTGCCGCTCTGGCCGGTGGTTCTACCGTCAAGTCTTGGGTCCAGGGCAAGGAGTACATTGCCGACCAGGGTAGCCGCATCCAGAAGGAGGTGGACTTCACCAGGCCCACCCCTCTTCTCAACGATGCAGGCGATATTTTCACTCGGTCGAAGCCGCAGTACGGCGGTTACGACTCCAGCGCTTTCGTCAGCATCAAGGATGCGGGCGCCAAGGGTGACGGCACTACCGATGACACGGCTGCCATTCAGGCGGCTATCGACGCCCTGACTGATCAGCAGATCCTTTACTTCGACCATGGTGCTTACCTGATCAGCGACACCGTTACCATTCCCGGCAGCAAGAACATCAAGATCACGGGTGAGATCTTGCCCATGCTGCTTGCCACCGGCGACAAGTTCAGCGATCAGAACAACCCCATCCCTGCTATCAAGGTTGGCGAGAAGAACTCGACTGGCAGCGTTGAGATGAGCGACTTCATCATTGGATCTCGCGGTCCCGCCCCTGGAGCCATCCTGCTGCAGTGGAACATGGAGTCTGAGCCTGGTGCGGGTGGTCTCTGGGATGTGCACTTCCGTGTTGGCGGTTACACGGGCTCTGAGCTCCAGTCCGACACGTGTGCCAAGAACCCCAACTCCACCCACGATGCCAACCCCGACTGCGAGGGTGTCTTCTTGATGTTCCACGCTTCTGAGACGGCCAGTGTCTACGTTGAGAACTGCTGGTTCTGGGTTGCTGACCACGAGCTTGACCTTTCGGACCACAACCAGATCGACATCTACAGCGCCCGTGGTGTCCTCATTGAATCCACCAACCCGGTGTGGCTGTGGGGTACCGCTTCGGAGCACAGCGTCATGTACAACTACCAACTCGTTGGCGCTAAGAATGTCTTCCTGGGCGCCATTCAGACCGAGACGCCATACTACCAGTCCAACCCGGATGCCACGAAGCCGTTCACTGTGCAGTCTTCCTGGTCCGACCCCGACTTCAGCAGCGCTTCTGCAACCGGTGGCAAGAAGGCGTGGGGTGTCCGCTTCATCGACAGCCAGGACGTCGTCGTCGCCGGTGGTGGACTGTACTCGTTCTTTGAGAACTATGAGCAGACTTGCGTTTCGGCCAACGACTGCCAGAACAACATGGTGTCGTACGAGGGAACCAACTCCAACGTCCAGCTGTTTGGTCTTTCGACCAAGGCTTCGGTCAACATGGTCACCGTCCAGGGCACCGGCGTCGTCAAGGATGCTGACAACCGCAGCAACTTCTGCGCCACGATCGGCCACTTTGCCGAGTCCTAGATCACTTCGTTCACATCTCGAAGAGGGTCGCAACGCAGTCGATTCAGGATACAGTCATTTCCTGGCCACGGATCATAGCATCCTACCCCATTTGTACAGATTTATGCAGCATTCTTCTGCTCTCCTGGTTTTGGAGAGCATCACTCTTTGGCGTGGAGCTGGCTCTATTGTTTTATTTCGATTCTCTTCAATTCCCTTCCCGACGTTAGATACCCAAACGGGAGGGAGGACACAAGTTTCCTGATGGATTACGATTTTCTTTTCTTGCATCTGGTCTATAAAGGTACATGGGGTGGATAGAAAAAGCCTTGGTGGCGACAAGCCTTTGTCCGTCAGGGGTGACCGATTCCTTGCTTCAGTTGCAATTCGACGGGTTCTCACTGGTACATATGGGACTTATTCCGCAGAGCATAGTTTGGCAGTGAGCATAGCATCCCGTAGCATCAGATGCACGAGAAGTGGCGCAGGAAACGATCAATACATTCTAACTCTTCGCGCCCACCTGAGGTTCCCTTTCCGTTGAGTGCAAGCAACATGTGAGGAGTTCTACAAAACGTTCACAGCAGCCACGATTGCTCATTCGTGGAATGTGTTGTGTTGCGACTGGAGGCACAACACCCTTGCTCTCCTTGGCCAGGCGGCTGGTACGGGCACCAAAGTTTCACGGAGTCGAAATTGTATGTACTGCGCCTCCCCACCGTGCTGTTCAGCTGTTCATCTCTTGCCACCTTCTTCAGCTCGACATGGAGCAGCAGGAGCATCTTACGTACACAGTTTCCACGCGCGCTGTTCGCGCCCGGGGCCTTCCGCCCCTCTCGCATCTCCGCGCCATGCATGCAAAATGCACCCAAGCTCCCCCATCCCCTCCCTGAGCATCCCGGAGATTGACCCTCCGCTTCTTCTCACCCCCAACCAACACCCCCCCGTCACCGGCGGCGCCATTTCCACTCCCCAGCCGGTCGCACGAGCAAGCAAACAAAAAGAGAAGTAAAAAAAGCGGGCCCATCGCGTTTGCGCGCATGACGAAAGGGCCGGGCAGGCCGCGTGTGCAAACCGCACGCGGGTACGGATAGTCGGGAAGAGAGTCCAGGGGTAGATGTGCAATGCAAGGTCGTACATACATACATGCATGCATGCCTCGCTAAACGAATCGGCATGCGGCTTTTTCTGTTTCCGCGTCCTCCCGTCGTCTTCATCTTCTGATTCCGATTCTCCTGTCTCTCGCTGGGTGAAATGGCGACCGCCTGTTGCTCTCTGTCTCGCCCACTACCTAGGACGTCGGATGCTGGTCCTTCCGGATATCCTGTATACTATGCGGTGGTGGTCCGTGTGGCTTAAAGTGTGTGATGAGCGACTAGATGATTCGGATCTGCGGAGCGATCCCGGCGATCCCTCTTTTATCGCGCTTTTGCCAATCGTCTCAGCTTTCGCTGGCAATGCAGTTCAGCTGCCTGTGCGCACCGTAAGCGATGAGGATGTTCATGATCCTGCCCTTTCTTCTGCGTTCGAGAGCATCGTGGCAGAGATGAGCTACGTGAGGGCGCGTGCGCTAAATTTTATTTTATTTTTTTTGGCTTCTTTGTCTTCTCACGATGGTCGATTGATCGATGGGCTCGTCTCTTGTCATTTACCAGAACTTGGCCGCTGCGTCAGCATTGAGAAGCGAAGAACTCGGGAAGCTGCACGGTGTCGTACTACGACTAGCCGCCTTCCTGTTCCTCTCAGCCTTCCGTATTCGGCTGCTTCCGATCGTTATACATCGGCGCCGGCTGACCGCCAAACAAGTAGTACTATCAAGTTGAGACCTCGCGTAGTATGGTCTCCGCTTACAGGAGAACGTCTCTAAATATCATTCCACGAATGACGAGAAAAACTCCGTTCACGACCCTCTTTTTAATTTTTCCTTCGGAACTCTTCTGCTCTTACAACTTCCTCGCGATCCAGAACGAGGGCCGGTAAACGTGCTGCATCATGCTGTTCGGATCCGAGATGTATCCAGTCTCGATGCCCGCCCCCGCTTCGTCACTGCTGCCACCGGGCAGCTCCCTCCGCTCGATCTTGAAGCCGAACCGCTCCACCAGCGCCACCACCTCCTCATCCGTCAGCTCGACGGAACCGCTTTCCGCGATGCCCAAATCCCTGTCCTCAGCACCGACACCGGCAACGCCCTTCTCGTCGTCACCACCATCGCCCCCTCTCTTGTTCCGCGCACCAGGCGGATCGTTCTCAAAGTGCCACAGCAACGGGCCCAGGTTGACCCACACGCCCCCGCTCTTCAAGCAATTCGCAATCGCCTCGATGTAGTTGATCAGGTTCGGCGCGGTGTCGATGAAGAACACGGTGGCGACGGCATCGAACGCGTCCTTCGCCTCGGCGGCGCGGTAGCTCACGCAAAAGTCTGCGGCGGCCATGCCCATGCGCTCGAAGGCGTGCACGCGGCAGCCCTCGCTCGCGCGGCGCAGCAGCGCCGCGGGGTGGACGTCGGGCACGCGCACGGCGCGCAGCTGGCGGGCGCGCGACGCGTGGTTGGAGAAGGCGTGCGCCCAGGGGTGCACCGCGAACTGCCCGGCCGCGGCCGTGTGGTTGAGCACGAACGACGACGCCAGCAGCTGGTGGTACGAGATCTCGTTGCCTTCGACCGAAAAGCCCAGCGCGCACACCTCGAGCACCAGCCGCCCCAGCCCCGCGCCGGGCACCAGCACCCGGATCGCGTCGCGCTGCGTGGGCGGCGTGCCGGCGTGCTCGGCGGCCAGCGCGGCCAGGACGGGCCCGTAGCAGGCGCGCCGCTCGGCGGCGCCCGCGGCGGACCAGTCGCGGTACATTTGGCGGATGGTGCTGCGGGCTTTCTCGAGGTCGGCGGCGGTGGCGGCGCGGTGCCAGACGGGGTCGATGGTGCGGCGGCCGGAGGGGTCGGACGGGTCGCGGCGGGGGGTGGTGTGGGAGGGGTCGATGCCGAAGTTGGGGGCGCCGGCGCGGAAGATGGCCTCGGCCAGGTCGGCGTTGGCGTCGAGGGCGGCGTCGACGGCGTCGAAGGTGTCGAGGAGGTTGAAGGGCGGGCCGGCGAGGAGGGTCCAGTGCGCCGAGGGCATGGCGTAGAAGTTTTGGCGGCGGACGTGCGTCACGTTGTAGTGGGCGACGCGGCGGTAGGACCTTTTGGTTTTGGACGAACATGATGGAGAATTGATAAGAAAAAGGTCCAACTCAGGAGATGCTAGGACGTGGTGGTCAGCGCCCGAGAGAGGGTGCTACGGGTTGGATGGCCGAAATGGGGAAGCATACTTGATGGCCGAAATAGGAAATGCGTATAGACAGACACAAGAGGTGAAGTCTCACTTACTGGAACGAGTCTAGGGTGGCATGGATGACTCTCTGCTCCTCCGGGTCGTCCTCCGGGTCTAATTCTCCCTGCCACTCGCCCTCGAGGGCAACAGAATGGGTCTCGGAGCTCATTGTCGAAGCTAGTGGAAGGATGTAGCTGCAGGTCTCACAGGCACATCAGCTGGCATCAACCGCGACAGCACCAGGACGGCTTGGGAAAAAGTTTGTCGAGCGGAGCAGCCGCTCTTAACCCGCGAGACGTACATCAGCAAGGGCGGCTTTGGCTCAGCGTGTCACCCGACAAGCCGTTTGCCGAGTGGGTGTGGTAGCGTGGGGCGTGACGCGGGGAAGGGTTTGGTCAGTCGTCGGCCGTGTGGTTTGACCGTTTGACCCTAGGCTCGCGTGCCGTTGCTTGCCCCGCCGGACCGGCCGCGTCTTTTCCTTCCCTGGTGCCGATCATGGCGTAACCCACGCGCACCCGTCGTCCGCTCCCACATCCCGGCACACTTTCCACCACCACCACCACAACCGCCGAACCTCTCAGCCGCCCACTTGCTCCACCTTGCCGTCTGAGACACGCGCTGCTGCCCTCCCCATCCACACGCACCGACTTCCCCCTCCCATCTGGCTTCAATGGACGCAGCAACCACCGCGGCCCCACCAAACGGCGAGCGAAGCAAGCAACAGCAGCAGCAGCAGCAGCAGCAGCATCAGCATCAGAAACCCGCACAGCTCTCCTTCCCGCTCCCCCGCGCCCCGAACGCCCGCGTCAACCTGCACCTGACCGTGCACCCGACATCGCTACTCCTCTTCGTCACGACCACCTCGCCCGAGCACGACGCCGGCGTCGCCGCGCCCGTAGGCAGCTTCGTCTACGCCATGCCGAACGTAAGAGCCATACACAAACCACCCCCCCCAAATAAAACCCCCCATTATTTCTCCACTGCCAAAGTCGGTGGTGGTGAGGGAAGGAGAGAGCACAGCGACGTGCGAGCGTTTTTTCTTTTTTCTGTTTTTTTCGTACCACAGAAATCATTGGGACTGCCCCGCTGACGTCGTCGTGCACACACAGCGCACCACCACCACCAACCCCGCCACCGCGCAACCGCTGAGCACCGCCCTCTACCCGCAGACGCCGACGCTCGACCTGGCGACCCGGCTGGCGAAGATCCTGGCGCGCCGCACGGCGCGGCCGACGTACGTGGGCAACTCGACATCGTTTTCGAGCGCGGGCGCCGGCGGGAATGTCGAGGAGGAGATGGAGGGCTTGGCGAGGGTGGTGGAGGTCGTGGTGGAGGAGGTGAGGAGGGTGGATGAGGCTGCTGCTGCTGGTGTTGGTGCTGCTGCTGCGGGAGCTTGAGAGGTGTGGGTGGGATGGAGACGTGTGTGGTGGGATATTACCTGAAAAGATGCGGTTGGAGGTTGAATGTGAGGGCGTGGGGCTGCGGGCATGCGGATATGTGCCATGCGCTTTGGTTTAGAGTTCGTTGCGGAACGCTGGAGGGTTGGCGTTACCGGTGGGTCGAGGCAGAGTGCTGGGATACGCCACTGCGAGGCGGAGATGCCGTTGTCGGCGGCTCTGGACGATCGGTGTGTATGGATGATACCCTGTTATGAGAATGATGGAGGCAAGGCAAGATGCGGACTATGACTGACGTGCTTCGATGGCTCGAAAACGTGGTTTGGATGAGCGTACAGTCAGCTATATGCTTTCGCTCTCGGACCACGTCTACTAGCTTCCTAATCCTCGGTGTTAAAACCTACTTCTATAAATTAGGGTTCCTCCTGCCGTCGGTCTCTATCATTCGAGACACCACGCCACAGATTTTCAGGGTGCTCACTTGAACGAAGTCCTTTACGAAAACTGCCCTCGGCTTGGCTGTCGCAACGAACTTGCTTGCTAAGAGTATATTGCGCTGCCAGAGATAGTGATGGATAATGCTGCACTGCAATGTTATGGACATGTTGCTGGCGAACATCACTCATTATTCATGAAGCCGGTCTGAACGCAGGTCTTTCCTTGCAGATGCAGGAGCAGGACACCTATTTGGCCGGCCTTGTGTACGCACTTGTCAATATCCACCCAGCGAGTGACAACTTGGGCCGGGTTCGGAGACTGGATCGCTATACCAGAATACGCCTGTATTCCTCAGTGGATATCCCATGTCCATTGTTCGTATCGTACGCAACACGATATTTATTTTCTTCCACCTCTCCAAGTTTTCCTGGAAGGCCAGGTCCAGGACCGTGCCTTCTGCATCACCTGTCATATGGCGTTGGCAGCCATGCAGCTCGCTCGCGATCATTGTGATGGGCAATGTTCGGCATGCGTTGCTGTGGCCACCAACTCGTGCACGTAGCGTTGCGAGTTACGGCCGGTAATCGCATAAAAGCCTCGGACTGTCATATCGATATCATCCATCGGCAAGGCGCTGATGCCCGAGAGGCTTGAACGAGGCATCTGACAGGCACATAAACATCCACTGCGTCCTTCTGCTACCTGGAACATCGTACTTGAGTTTGAGCCAGAGATTCGATTACTCGCATCTCCAGTCATTTCAAATTGATCAGCATCGAAGAAAATTGCTGAAGGGCTTCATTAAAGTCACGTTGAGTAGCAGGCATATGGTACAAATATGAAGTGTTGAACCATGAATTGGAAGAAAAACAAAGATTCATAGAGTGAACAACAACAAATTGTGCAATTACTCCTTCACTTCATATTCGAATGATGCTGCTTAGTCCATAATTATTTTCATTTGGTTACCATTCATATGTAGCTACACAAGACGGCTGGCCCTCGAGCCAACAGAAATGCCTCTTCTCATCCATTAATATTCGTTAAGTCTATCCTTTGCGCTCTGCTTAGCCTCATCGGAGACGTTCGGGTTGTTGATAGTCGCCTTCAAGCCGCCTGCACTGCATCACAACATCGTCATCAGCATCCCAATCGGCTTCCCAAAATGGGGAAGAAAATGAACAACAAAAAGGGAAGAGTAAGCAGAAAGACATACACATTGCCAGGATTCTTGTTCTGGTCGGCCTGGGGCACATCGCCGCTCTCCATGTGCTCGTCGATGATCTGCTTGCTGTGCTGCTTGGCCTCGTCCGAGGTGTTGGGGTTGTTGAGGTTGGCCTTGTGGCCGCCGATGACGTTGCCGGGGTTGGACATCCTGGAGGCAGTTTTGTTGAAGTGTTGTTGGCAACTGAGTAGTGTTTTGTTCTACTGGAGGAGGACGGCACGGTGCATGGAAGTTGGTTAGTGTTGGAATATTGGCTGACAATTCCAGGCGGAGAACCTCATTTATATACATGCCCGACTGAGAAGCTTTCCATGGCACACGGAAGCTGGAATGGACTGGGCCCGCGATCGCCGATTGAGGTCACACTGATACAGTCATTGTTGCAGAAGGCCTATGCCATTTCCTCCCCATCGTAGACGTCGATGCGGCACCCTTTGCATGGAGTTGATGACGTTTTTGCCCCGCTGAGGAAAAGCGCATCTCCACAACGCATGATGAGAGTCTGGTAGAAGAATTGCCGATACTTGAGTGGGAAGGCTGGAGAGTAGCGTACCGTCGCCTGAAGCTTACCCGCGTGGCAGACGGGATGGGATCGACGGTGATTTCGCTTTTCGATCAAGGGCAGGCCGAGGGTGGAAGGGTCACTTACGGGATAATTCCGAAAAATGAGGCGGTATGGAATGCCTGAATATGTCCCTGAAAGGCTGATAGCTGTGCGATGGATATACATGATGAGGCCGGCAACAGTGGGGAGATTTATGTAAAGGGCTCGCTCGTTAGAAACTCGAGCGCGTGGGGAATTGCACATAGATGCTAATGGAAGCTCAACACGTTGGGTCTACCGACAGTCCCGCAGGAAGCACTATGTTTGCGTGTTGACGTCGAGTTGCAGCCCAGACTGCCGACCCATGCGAAGTCCGATGCAATAGTGATGCGAGAATCCGATTGATGTGTGATGCGATTGCAATCGCAAGGTCTTAGTGCGTATCATTGATGCAGGTACGCACGGCTGAGGTGGGGAATGCTGGGTGGAACGAAAGAGTCATGACGTTTGACACTTTAGGAGCCGACGCGTGCCACGGGATCAGGCGTCAGTGTCCCATTTACTGAGCCTCACGACCCCAGAGTCCTCTATGATGTCTATGCGGTAGTAGTTCTTGGATGTAGAGATGGCAAAAAGCAAGCGGTAATACCACGGTGGCTGGGCTTCTTTCAAGCCACATGCCTACACGTCGTCGTCAGCCGCGGTCTTCTCGGATCCAAGGCTATGCCATACGTGGGAGCAATAGAATCATACCAAATGGACTAATTAGACATATTAAGCTAATGACAGGCTTGGATGACGTCTGCGTGGCGCGATGCACATGGCGATCGTGCAGAATTTCCGGCATCCATCTATCGGGTATCATCAAATATGACAGTCGTGAGCCTCCGGCCTTCTCTAAGACCCCCTCTCCAGATCCGGTAGTCGCCATTCATGCTCGCGATCCGCAACTGGCTCCGACATGCTCGCGAAGTAGCTTAATCTGCCGCTGTCGTCCAGCGTGGCTGGTGTGGCCACTGCAGAAGTGCTTATGGTGCAAGCATCACACGGCTTGGTGATGGGAAGCCCTTGTTCCTTTATGCTCATTGAATCGATCTCCGACAATTGGAAAGTGTAGCCACGCCGTAACTTCTTCTTTCCATTGGCCGCGGGGTCGACTCGGTGGGGCGCACTGTCTTCTACGTGCGTCCCGCACCACGGGATGAGGCGTAGGAGCGGACGGAACGAAGATATCGAGGCTGCACAGATGGCCAGGCATAGCTCAATCCAGCACAACAATGCAATGGGAGCGAAGACCTCTGGATCCACGGACTCGGGTCAGCTTGACGAGCTTCTAAGGGGAGAAGACCCTCGTAGCTTACGTAGCGTGTTGGTGGATTTGGAGAAACCGACGAGATATCTCATCCGGATGATGGTCGCAATGCTTGCCCTGAAAATACTTAGTCATGGCTCCCAAAAGACCAAGGCTCCACTTACAGAACACCGACCCCCAAGACGAAGATAGAAGACAACTTAACAGCCGGCTTGATTTGGAGCTTCCAGATCAAGGGTGCAGGAGCAAACGCGTAGTACCAGAACAGCAGAATATTCACTGCTGAGTAGACGTAAATACTAGTGGTGATTCCGCGTCTGTCGGCACAGGTCCCTTCGGCCATTGTAGGAGTCCAGGCTTTGTAAACCTGCAGAAAGCCTCAGTACTTCTCTGCCACGAGGGAATTGCGAAGGGCAAGCGGCACACCTACCGGATAGCACTGAAAGAGTAATGTGAAGAACTCATAAGTGGCCATAATGACGTTCGCACCGATGGATACATAATGAAGGCGGTTGAAAATGGTATGCGCTCTGCCCGTGATGCGCAACTGGAGGAGTGCGATGCTCAGGCCCGTGGTGAGCAGGGTCAGGATATAACAGGTTTGAGAGAGTATGAGAAACTGCAATGCGGTCAGATGTGTTCAGTGCTGCAACGCTTCAGGAGAGCGCACTTTGATGCCACGCAGGACGACTTCGGTGGGGAGCTCGTCCGTCGGCCGACCGAAACCTCCCGTCTCAATGCCATGAACCATAAAGCCAGTGATGACAGACATTAAGCACTGTATAGCATGAGCGTGTGCCGGTTCGGGTATGGAAGCTGTAGAAAGAACTTACTAGTGCGAGCACCAAGAGATAGTCATCCACGGCGAACTGGCGCTGAATGTGCAGCCTGGCCAGGACTCTGAGAAGGACAAAGACAGCGGAAACGGCTAAGCATATTACCAAAGAGGCGCGAAGGTGCTTTTGCGAGTCATTGATCTGGTAGTCGTTGACAGGCAGGAGCGAAGACATGGGGTTTACTTCCGGGCCAAATTTCCGTTGCGGATAGGATCATCCAGCAGCGCGAGGGTACGTTAGCGTTCTATAAGGCCAGATGGTTATTGCACATGACAGCCAGCGAAGGCGACAGCAGCCCCTTGGTTCCGGATATCGGGCTGGCACTGTGGGAGACTGTTGATGACGGATGAGAGCTGGCGATGGAGGCTAGCAAGTAGAGCGTGAGGATCGACGGCCAATATGCCGGACGAGGAGTGGTCAGCAAGGTAATTGCACTACGACCAGGCCATTTCCGGAGCAAACAGAGGAAGACGATGCGAGAACGGCGAGACGGCGTGCTATTGTACCCGGTGGATGCTGCAGCTGAGCGGGAAGAAACCGCAGAGGAGTCTGGACGCATGGCTGGCGGTGGAAAGGCATTGGTCAGCGCGGTAGCTGCAGCGGAGCAGCGTCTCCCCGCATCCGGACCCGGGCGGCAACCTAGCTTGCCCGGGAAGGGCCCTTTTTCCGCTTGCGCCACGTTTCGGCTAGCAAGTGACCGCAGTGGCGCGATAGGGAAAGGTGGCACGAACACTGGCCAGACCAAGTCTCTGATCCAAGCCGGCACCACGCGCTCGCCGGCTTTCACCGCCCTCAATACCCGGTCCTCGCGTGGCTGTGTGGGCCAGAGCAGTGTTTCCTACGCGAGAATGCGTATAGGAGATTCTCACTCGTGGCATGAGGGCTTGATGGTGTTTCTGGGCGATGCGGCTCAGCTCGATGCCACCGGGATGGGTCAGGCGCCGTCGCCAGAAGCCATGACTTAGCAGACTCTGCGCTTGATCAGAAGCCTCACGGAGGGCGTCGCGTACAAGGACGAATTTGGGAATGGGGTCGGACGAAGGCTGGATGGAGGCGGTGGGCGGGAAGACGGGTGGGGGAACGGGCTGGCAAGATCGACGGGCTGCCGTACCTTCCGGTCTGGGCTCCCAAGCGCACACGGCCAATCATTTTCGCTAGCCTGGAGTCTGCAACTTCGCAATTCCCATCTTACTCCCTTCTTGCTCTTCACACTGCCACGGGTGCCGATGAAGATGCTTGAAACGATGGTGACCCGGCAGGCATATTTCTCCAGGCTTCCGACGTCATCTCAGCACGGCAGGTGGGGCACGCGTAAGATGACAACATCTCATCGCTGTCATCACACCCGGCCTCCAACCCGACTCACCATCTGTACTCACCATCACCATTGACACACTTCCATCAAAGCATCTGACAACACCCCGTTGGCTGCCCATCGGACAGGAAATATGCCACCACCATCTGCCCAAGCGCTGCCCGCCCTGCTATCCAAAGTCCGCACCATCCTCCCAGCTTCCATACCTAAGAGCGCCGCCTACATCCTACCGGCATCCACCCTCATCGCCCTCGGCCACCCCAACCTCCTCGGCCCGCTCTTCCTCCACGTCACCGGCCACAATGACACCAGCCCCGCAACCCCGGCAACCCCATCGCAATCGCAATCGCAACAACAACCCTCCAGCACCCCCGCCCCGTCGTCGACCCCACGACCCCACCCCCTCTCCCCCGCCGAAACCCGCACCATCTCGCTGCACCTGCGCGACATGCTCCTGAAAGAATGGACCCTGACCGGCATCCCGCTCGTCATCACCGCCGTCTCCTCCCTCGGCCTCGCCGAGCAAGCCGCCGGCCTCTTCCCGCGCGACGCCCCCTCCACCTTTGACAACCGCGCCTGGAACGCCCCCACTCCCAGCCCCACCAGAGAAGAAGCAGCCTCTTCGCCCTCCCACCACCACCCCCTCGGCACGCAATCCGCCCTCTCCCCGCGCTACTCCTGCCCCACCTCCCCATCTCTCCCCCTCTCCCTCGCCCCCTCCTCCCCCCTCTCCGCCCGCGGCGCCGCCCACCTCCACCGCCTCTACCTGCACCACCTCCCCGCCATCGCCGCCACCTGGTCCTCGCACGAGGCCGACTTCCGCTGGCTCGAGGAGTCGGTCATCTACGGCCTCTTCCTGTCGGACCACGCCGTGCTCTCGGCGCTCGAGACGAGCCTCGTCACCGCCAGCGCCATCGTCGCCCAGGGGCTCAAGGCGCCCGCGCTGTGGCACCTGCGCGGGCTGCGGAGGCTGGGCGTGCCGAGGGAGGACGTCGAGCGCGTGGTGAGGGTCGTGGGGGTGTGTGCGGCGTGGGCGGGGGGGAGGGGGGAGTGGCGTGGTCCGAGGGGGGGGGAGGAGGGGAAGGAGGGGGAGGGGCAGGTGGAGGAGTGGGTTGGGTGGGTGGGGGAGGTGGAGGGGGAGGTTTGATGGGGGTCGTGGTGGTGGTGATGATGATGATGATGATGGTTGTTAGGAATCCAAGGCGCATGGTGTTGGAAAAGAAAAGGGGGAGGGGAAGAATTGGGTCTTGATGACAGTGACGTAGACAATCCGAATAGACGTAGGATTTAGAGGCACGACAAAACCTCATCAACTCGCACTCGTTTCCTTCTCGTGACGCTCGTTCATTCCATGCTAACAAGAGGTGCATTATTTCATTGTTGCTCGTTTCCAGTATCACTAAATGTCTGCATTAAATACCAATATTCGAAAAGCCATACTCAAAGCAAAAGTCGTCACCATGGTATCAAAGCAGCCGTAAGTACTACCCGACCATTCCCCACAATTTCTGTCACCCCCCACTCAGCTATCGTGTTTAGTAAGGCGTGTTGGCTTTCTTGATGTTGTCCCAATCAGGACCAATGTTGCCGCCATGAGCACTGCCTTGAGAAGCGACATTGGACCCAGAAACGCCCGAACCAGCACCGTGGCTATGGAAGCCCCCAATGGTCTCGTTGCCATCGGTACCACCAGCGCCGGAGCCGTACTTGCCAACGTTCATTGGTAGGCCGGTGTGCGGTTCGATGACGATGCCCTCTTGATCTCCAGGCCTTGCGGTGCCGTACTCGCCGGGACGGGTTTCACTTCAATCCGTTAGTAAGCTTCAACTTGCAGATATGCCAGCGGAATAAACTTACTGAGTGCCGGAAACCGCGCCGGCTTCTCCAATGCGGCCGTCGGTGCCATAGTGCTCTCCACCATGACCCCTTACGTAGTCCGCAGGCGGGTCCTTGTGGAGCCTATTGCGCTCGTGCTTCCCTTCCTCGTGCTCATAGGCAGCAGCACCAGCACCGCCAGCCGCAACGGCACCAGCCTCAACTTCATGTCGATGGCGCTTATCCTCATCGTCGGACGACTTATCCTCATCCTTGTCTTTGTCACGATGGAGGAAGCCGAAGATACCACCATGGTGCTTCTTCTTTTCTTCCTTCTCAAGCTCCTTCTCATGCTTCTTCTCTTCATGCTGAAGCTCCTTTTCGTGCTTCTTCTCATCCTTCGCCAACTCCTTCTGGTACTTCTTGTCGTCCTTTGCCTGCTCCTTGTCCAATTCTTTCTGATGCTTTTTCGCCTCCTTCTCTTGCTCCTTCTCGAATTCTTTTTGTTCCTTGAGATGCTCCTTCTCAGCCTTCTCAGCATCATGTTTGCTGAACTCATGCGCAGCACCGGCACCTGCCGCACCGGCGGTGCCCGCAACCGCAGCGTCTCTGCCATAGTGATGCTTCTGCTCGGAACTGGCGGGGTCCCTCGTAGGATCAGCAGAGCTGTAGGGTTGTTGCCGCTCCGCTTTCTCAGCCTCTCGCTTTTGATGCTCATGAACCCCGAGACCTGCCGCTCCAGCACCACCCGCCAAGGCGGCATCACGTCCGTAGTGATGTTGGCTCGTGGGCTGAGTTGTGGAGGTAGTCTGTGGTTGCTGGGTTGCTCGAGGGATAGAGCTGGTTGGCTGAGTGTTGGTCGAGGAATAAGGCCCCGAAGTGCTAGTAGTACCAGGCACATGGTCCGGAGCGGCACGGTCAGACTTGTGCTCGCCATACTGATGAGCGATACCGGCACCTGCCAGACCAGCACCACCAGCCATGGCAGCATCACGTCCGTAGTGGTGCTGCTGACCGGGTTGGGCTGCAGAAGAGACTGTCGTACCCGTGGACGTTGTGGGCGCATTCTTGTTTGCGTCAACAGCGGAGCCCGCTGGGCCTGCGAACCAACCTCCCTTAGTCGAGGATGACCTGGCAGGTGCATCTGCCCCAGCTGCGCTGCTGTGGATCCTTGGGTCTACTGCCTGAGACGTGTATGGGTTCTTCTCATGTTGATGTTGGGAGGCCGCATAAGCACCGGCTGCACCTGCACCAAGACCGCCCGCAATGGCAGCATCGCGTCCGTAGTGGTGCTGATTCGCCTCACTGGAGGGGTCGGAGTCGACTTTTCGGTCCATACGGTTAAGGGTATCAGACTGATGGGGGCCGACTGTCGTGTGCTGCTTCATCTTTTCCGGCTGGGGTAAGACTCTTGGATCCACTACGTTAGCAATGTTGCTGGAATGAGGACCAACAGTCCTCGAGGCAGGATCCGTCTCGGTAGACTGGGCTTGGTGACCTTTCATCTTGTTGGGATCGGGAAGAACTCGTGGATCCAGAATGTTCGCCACGTTACTCTTGTGAGGGCCATGCGTCAAGGTCGCTGGATCTGTATCCGTGGACCCCTTTCTGCGTGTCTCGTAAAGACCCGCAGCAGCCGTAGCACCAGCTCCCGCAATGGCGGCATCGCGTCCGTAGTGATGTTCCTGGCCTGGCGCATCACTGGCGGTCTGAGACTGTGCTCCGTGCGGGCTTCTGGCCGCCGCCGCGGTGGCCCCAGCTGTAGCAGGATCCCTTCCGTAATCCTGAGAGGAGATCTGAAGATTTCTGTCCCCTTCCACTGGCGGATACATGCCAGTATTGTCCTGGGGACGCCCTTCATACAGGCTTCCAGCTGCGGCAGCCTTAGCACCAGCAGTAGCTGGGTCACGCCCATGGTCTTGAGTAGAGTCACGGTGAGTTGCGTCCGCTTCCCTTGCTGGGTCAGATTCGGTAGTTCCTCTGGAGCGCCCCTCATACAAGCCCCCAGCTGTAGCAGCCCCGGCCCCAGCAATAGCTGCATCACGTCCATAGTGGTGCCCGTGGGATGAAGGTCCAGTGGTAGTGCTTGGCGGTTCTTCGGTGGCCGGAGTTGCAGAAGCTGAATCAGGATAAGCTCCTGGCATTCTGGAGCTGGTCAGGCTAGGATCTAGCATGTTACCCGCCTCAGTGGCATGCGGGCCAGGACTGAATGTAGGTCCGCTTTTGGTGGCGTCGGTATTGGGACCTTGGTACTCGTGATAATTTCCTTGGTGTTTGTGCATGTCAAAAGGAGTAGAACCTGCGGCTGCCGCGGCTGCCCTACGGGCTTCTTCAGATCCATGGGTTCCATGGGTCATGCCAGTGGTAGATGTCTCAGAAGCACTTCCAATGGCAGAGGGCTCGTTAGGGCTTGTGTAGTCATTCCGTGCTCCAGAAGTATCGGTGTAAGTGCCTCCGGAGAGTGGAAATGAACGATCAGTGTCGGAGCTCCTCTCCGTGTTGGAGCCCAGCGCCGCAGCCGTGCCGGCGGCGGCGACAGCAGCGCCTGGACCAACACCACGACCCGCGCTCGAGGTGTGATCGGTCTTGGCTGTTGGCAGGTCGGAATCAGTTAGCTCTTTGGCATGGGGAGTGTCGCCAATGACGCCAGATCTGATACTCGCTACAGAAATGTCGTCCCTGCTGGCGAATTCGGATGGTCGGAGATTACCTGTGGTTGGCTGAGCGCCCACGATGCCCTGGCCGTGCTCTGAACTGCGAGACACGCCTCCGACAGGTTCCAGTCCGCTGCTAGTGGAGAATCGCGTTGGTGTTGGGTTGTGAGCCGCGCTGCTGTCGTAACGCTGCTCCGCATAATTGACACCTCCGGGGTGCCTGCAGTAACGGTCAATACTGACAAACCAAATGGTACTATGACAGTTTCAAACAGCTCTAGCGAGTTCGGCTGGGGGGAAACGTACAGATTGTGTTGTCTGTGGCTAGTTTCACTCTCGGTCGCAGGGGTAGAGTGAACGCCACCAGTGGTTCGATCCGGTAGCGAGCTTGTTGCTGCGGCAGCTGACTCCTCCCTTCCGTACCGGGAATCACCGGGGCCCGACGATTCCGTCGCGAAACCTTGGCCCCTATCGGCTGCAGTACCTGGCGCAGTGGAGGCGGCTTCGCGCAGGTCCATTGTATCACTTCTACCGTGGCCCTTGGTGGAGCTTACGCTGCCAGACATCACGTCAGAGAAGCTGCCACAATGCGACGAAAGTGGGGCTGAAGACAAACCTGGGGAGTCCTGATGAGGCGGCTTCGGTGGTGTTATCTTTGGAGCGGCCAGACTGGCTGCCCTCGGCGGAAAGCCTGCCGTCCTTGGAAGTGCGGGAAGACGGATCGGCAGACTGCTGAGAGCCGTAGAGCATGTCAGCGTCCTGCTTGTGGCCGGGCGAGCTATAGACAGGGTCAGCACAGGCAGGCGATCGGAGCAGGGGTGTCGCGGGTGGTGCGCAGCGGGGCGGACTTGGCATACAAGATGTCCTTGAGTTTGTCCATGGTGAAGGGGCTTTCGGAAGTCGGACAGGATGCGATTGATGAGATCTCGAGCAGACACGAGCGCGCAGAGGACAACGATGGAGCGGCTGCGGAGGGGTCTTTGAACAAGTGAGGGCTGAGCTGAAAGTGACCTCATGCGGCAGGCACGCCGCTGCGTCATGGCTCGATCAGGGCGCACGCCATACTGCATCTGGCGTGCGAACAGCGAGGGCATGCACGACGGGCGACGCGGCTGCCGTGCTTCTCCAGATGCAGGCGCGTCGAGTGGAGCTAGAGGGCACGATGCAGGCTTTCGTTACGCCCATGACGCAGTCGAGCGCGCCGCGATCATCGGCGTGGATTCCCCACAGTGTGGCGGGGGGCAGCGCACCGCCACCGGGCCCGAGGCGGCAGGTTTGTCGCCGCGCAGCCCTCCAGCCCGCGTGCCCGCCCCCAAAGCCTGCGCAGATCCAGATCGCCGAGCGCCGAGCGCCGCGGGTCCAGACGCCGCCCACCGCTCCGTCCGCGCCCGCCAGGCCCTCCAGCCCAGCCACCGGCGCAGCAGCTCTCCTGGTCGCAGACGCGCTGCACAGCTGCACTGCTCGTGCGGGCGGCCGGCGGTGCGGAGGGCGCGGCGGCGCTCGGGGGAGCATCGGTCAGGGCGCGGTCGCGGCTGCTGCAGGTGCATGTGTGACTCGCATGCCAATAAGACGTGTGCCGCGGGCTCTCCCCTCCTCCAGCCGAGTCTCACCACCATCACCAGGGCCCCGTCGGCAAAGAGCTGGTTCCAGGTTCGCGGCGGCAGCTTCCAGCGAACAAGCATCGCGCATTTGCAGCCGCAATCGAGCCGCAGCCACTCCGCGCGGCTTGGCCTTCCAGACCCGATGGATTTTCGCTCGCCGCGCCCAGACGCCGTGCCTCCCGGCGCACCCGTCCCTCCCGATGACATCTAACGACTCGCCAGCCCCAACTTCTCCCACTCTCTCCCCTCCCGACCCCAGACGAGCCCACGCTCTGCCGAAAACGTCCATCCGACCCAACTCCACTCGATGCGCGCCCGCCGCTGAGCCGCCCACGCCCCTCCGCCGTTGCTCTCAACGCCGCCGCCGCCTCCCGTGTGCCATCCTCACCTGACGGGCGCCGGACCCGATCTGCAGCCTCTGCGCCCGCCTCACTTTCGCTCCGCTCCCCCTACGCTCTTTCCTCCCTTTCCGTCGCTCGACCATGGCTTTCCGTGAGCGCGTCAAGCGTGCCTTGGGCCGCAACTCGTCGTCCAAGTCGTCGTCGGCCTCGTCGACGCTGTCCAAGAACAACTCCAAAAGCGACAGCTCGGTCTGGTACCAGCCAGGAGAGCCGCTTCCCATGCCCAAGTACCGTAGGCCGGTGGCGAAAGAGCACAAGGAGAAGCTCGAGTCGTTCAACTTCGAGAAGGCATGGCGCAGGCGGAGCGACCAGAGCATGTACTCGCCCATGGGCAGCCGCTACCCCAGCCGGAGAAACAGCCTGACGAGCCGGAAGAGCATGAACGGCCCGCGCAGGCAGGTCATCGAAGACATCAACGACGCTGGAGATGTTAGCAACGGTACGTCGCGCTCAAGCTCCGAGAGTGTTGACGGATCCTCTCCTGCCGCGGATTTCTGAAGCTGAGACTCTCGCAATCATCAGTCGGCCTTGGCCAGCGCACACGTGAAAGCACGCGCCTATCGTCGGTTGCATTGCGCTCTGAGCAGTGCTCCGGCTCCGACCCTTCGACCAGCTCGCGGTCTCAGACGGGGACCACGAACAGCAGCAGCGCCCTTGGTCAATCGTTTACCCAGCAGGAGCTCAACCTCGCGCTGCAACGGTCCAACCTCGAGTTGCCGCATTCTGCATCGTAACCCCGGTCTGGACCATCTCTCGGTACTTAATTTCGCGGCCGGACTTGTGGATACACGTTCCCTTTTCCTGGACAAATTTTGGATCATCTGACTTCGGCGTTCTCCCGTCCTCGCGGCGTACATCTGCTTAACTGCATCGATCCACGCAGATCACGGCTACACGTTCAACGCAAGCATGCATATACATATACGGTTGGGATTCATCACATATGGAAGATTACAAGGCGCAAACTACGGATGGATCTGCATCAACAATTAGCAACTGGGCATCTCTCGATCTTCGATTTCATCTTTCTATTATTCTCCGCTGTACATTTTCTTTCGCCCGTGTTCGATTTCTCCCTTGTTTCACATGTTCCATGTTTTGGTTATCCCTTGTTTCCTTCTGGCGTTGACGGTTATAGATCACCTGACTTGATCTGCATGTCGCCTTAGAGCTCGCCCACACACCCTGCAAGTTCGTCTAGAAAAGACAAAGGAGAGGACGCAGCAGATAGAGAATGCGTATCACAAGCAGCAGTGTGCACACGTTCAAAGTGCTCTCATGTCTCATCCTCCCCCTGAGCCGGTCAGCCCCAACCGAATCATGTCGCTGCAAACAATGAACTCGTGACGTCGTCGCAGGCTGGGACCCGGCGTTTTCCATGGCGACACGTGCGACTCACCAGACACGCACCAGTTTTGTTATTGCTCCTCCTTCAGCGGACCACTTCTCTGTCTTCATTTTCGCACGCACTCTCGGAGGGTCTCTCGGTGTTTGCTCGTCGCCGCCTGGCCCGCGCCCTCGTCCCTGCCCTTTGTTTCTTATTTTAACACGCGTCGCATCATGCATCCCATGCGTGCGTGCGGCCGTTGGTGGCGGCCTGACTTTACTGCTGGAAACAACCTGACAAAAAAAAACAGGAAAGATAAAAAGACCGAAGCAACAAAGCCGACAATAAAGCCGACCCGACACACGGGTCGAAGGATCGTGATGACCACTTTTTTTTTTCCAATCGTTCATTAATATTTATTTCTGAGGCGGGAGATGCGAAGGCAGGGCGCGCGCGCTCACCCGTACGCACGGTCGTGGGCAATTTTGGGAACGAGGTTGCCCATTGGGGGCGGCCGGCCGGCCGTCGTCCGTCGACACTCGGCTGTTCCCATTTTCTGTCCTTTTGCTCATCACTCGCCGCTCGCTCTCGCTTGCAGGACAATAGCCACGACGGCGGCGGAAATAACAACAATGCAACCACGTTTTCTCTGCAAAAGTCTCGCGTACTTCTCCGGCATGCAATATAATCTGGCTGTGAGGTTTATCTGCAAGTAAGAGCTAGCAGAGAGCATGCATGCATGCATGCAGGGCATCTTTTTTTTTTTTTCACGCCGAAAGTTTATCGCGCTCATCAGTCGTCGTGCCGTCCGTTTGGTCTGCCACCAATCTCTCTGTCTACCTACTGTCTGACCGGCCGGCCCCGTCGGTCGATGAAAACCGCTTAGGGGGGTTAGGTCCGGGTAGGTGGTGGGTTTAGCAGTTATTAGCAGGAAGTAGGTGGCGGCAAACACCGGGCCGACGTGCGACGAATCACGGGGATGCAGTAGTAGTAGTGCGGATTTCCTTTTTCTTTTTTTTTTAGAGGGGGAGAAGGGTCTCTTTGGTTGCCGACGCTTGTGTTCGTGGGATCGAAGGGACGAGCTGGGGGCCGACGGAAAGGGGTCACCTAGGTACGTCCCTTTTTTTTCCTTCCTCCCGACCCGCCGCCCCCTTCTTTTACTACTACTGCCTACTTTCTCTTCAGCCCAACCCCCCCGCGCGTTTGCCCGCTTTGGGTTAGGATGGCAGGGCTGCGGCTTTGATTTGATGTGTGTCAGTGTGCGTGTAGTGTGGTCCGTAGGATGTGCTATACCGCACGTCGAGGTGACAGCTATGCCGACCAGAGTAAAAGCCTTGGCGACCGCGTGTGTGCGTGTGTGGGGGGGTTTGTTTTTTTCGCCGCAGAGACGCGGACGGGGATAGAGGTGGGAATAAAACAAGGCCGCAGACGAGGACGGTCCGCCGCCTCGCGCGGCGATTGGATACCAAGAGAGGGAATTCGTCAAAGGGAAGGCCCGAGCTGTATGTACCTAAGATGGCGCGCACGCGGCTGAAGAGAGATACGACGTGCATCAAAAAAAGAAAAGAAAAAAAATTGTTCGGTGTGGGTGCGGGAAGGGTACGAGAACCAGATGGGCAGCTCGCCTGGCGTCCCGTTCAGTCGGGGCGCGGGGCGCCGGGGGGCCTATCCCGGCGGCTTGGGTGGTGGGTGGTTTCTCTCGCCTGTCAGTGGGTGGGGGAGAACAGTTCCGCGGAGGTGGTGGCGGCGGTGGTGGTTGTCAGGCTCTACTGCAACGCTAGGGTAAGCTGGGCGTTGGCGTCCTGCGCGCGGGAACGCGGGTCGGGGTCTGGACGTGGTTGGTGGTTGCCTGCTGCTGATGCGGGATGCAGGCGGCTTGCGTGCAGTTGCAGTAGCGGGGATTAGGGGTCCAAGGATGCTTTCTGAGCACGAAGGATCTTGG